CTAGACTTTCCTGTGACTCTAAAAATGTGATTTACTTGGCTTCCTGTAAGAAATGTCGCCTGCAATACGTGGGATCTACTACTACCGACTTTAAAGTGAGATTTCGAAATCACAAATCTACTATGCTCATAGACAAAACAATTTGTGAGGTAGCGATACACTTCAACAAAACCCCACACACCTGGACGATTTTTCGTTCCAATGCATTGATCAGGTAAAGGCCCCTAGTGGCTCTGCAGAGATCGATAGGCTTTTAATCACAAAAGTGGCTTATTGGAGTGCTCAGTTGTTCTCTTTGGCACCCCATGGTTTGAATAAAAGAAAGGAATTTCATTCGAAAAATGGAATTTGCTTTAATTAATTTTCCACCTAATTTAGATTAGGCGCTACTAATTGATCGTTCAAAGGCCCTTTCTTGGATTTTGTCGGCCCTTCAGGTGTGGATTGGACTCAGAGGCCCTGCCAAGGGATCTTGTTATGATTAGTATCATTTAAGGGCCCCTCCAGGGATTTTGTTGATAATTTGCCCTTTCGGGCTCCAAAGGCCTTGATTTGGGATTTTGTTACGGTTTACTGTTGTAGTTAGAAGTGGGCCTTCCCTTTTTTAATGCTCGCCGCATTGCTTCTTTGCAATTGGTTACGCCACTCATATTGACATATTTAGTATTCTTATCTCTTAGTTTTTAGGGTTTGTTTCTTGTATTTTGTCCATTGCTTTCTTTGTAATTAGGTTTTTTGTTATCTTTTTTAGCACCAGTTCATTAGTCGTTATCTGTAATTACGTAATCATTAGCACTTCGATCCTATTTAATGCTCTGCTTTTATTTCAAAACTTGTGAATAACTGAAGGTCCCTGACCGAAACGTTTTTTATTATATTAAAATTTTTTATATCTTTTACGTCAGAAGTTGTCCATCCTCGCAATTTTTTAAACTTTCTATATATATATAATGGTCTTTATTATGGAACCAGCGCAAAATAAAAGAGGCAATTTTGGAAAGATACCTATCGATTAATACGAAAGTGCGCAGTGGTTTAGTATCTGCCGTTTCTCTGATTTCAACGTTGTTTTGGGTGAAACTCCAGCATATCCTAACAGTGTTGTGTAAACCGAACCGAAAACAAAAATTCCAGAAGAAACCAATTATTTCCACTATGTACAGTTTGCACAAGACCAGAAGCCAGAATGGTGATAACTCCGACCAATGATTGACAAATTCTTTGACAGGAAATTAGCGGAAAGAGGGTCTGAAACTCACCACTCGGAGATCTTGGTACTTACCTGTCCAGTACCTGTGCATACGCCCATAGTGGGCGCATAAACGAGAGTAAGGGAACACGAGTACGTGTCCTTGAGGGAAGTCAAAATACGCGAGGACGGTTTCAATTTTTCCAAGGTTTCAATCGGTAACCGTATGGTGTCAAGGTGCCTTTGCGCCATTTTCTGTATTCTTTGCTGTGAATTTTAAATTGAGCTTTCGGATGGTCTGTCTCGTCCGTACAGGGCATCTTTCTTTCTGTATCCCTCAGAAGAGTTTATGCCCTTTCCAAACCCAACCAACGTTGCTGATTCAAGCAAGCGGTTGAGACCTTCTCGTTAGTACTTTATTGCTGCATAACATTATTCATTGACTGAACCACTGAACACTGTTCCTGTTTCCTACCTAGCACGATGGTTTTTTTTTTCCAGATTCCAGATACAACCTGGTCAAGATTAGAACAACGATCATAGAACAACTGAGATATCAGATAAAATATTTTTAATGTTTTAAACATCACATCTACAGAATAACAAAGATATCAGATAAAAATTTTTTTTATATGTTTTAAACATCACCTCTGCAAAATAACTGCTTGAGTTTTTTTTGTCCTCAACTAGGACATAATTATATTAACCTTATACCTTATGTAAGAATAACATGATAATTTTTTGGTATGCACTTGTGTGTCTTGGCCAAAACTTTTACAGAGTTAAGGACGTCGAGTCAACCAAACGTTTCCATTTCCTGTCAGTGAACTTCCTAATGGGCCCTATATCAATCGTATCTTATCATTTTCCGTCAATGAGTATAGTAGAGAGAGTAACGTTCACAATGAACAGAATGAATAAAGGAAACTTACCTATGAAATTTTTCTGGCTCCGTAGACACTCGACTGCATATCATGTCTTAAATACTTTAAATACTACCATTTGTTTCTCTAATTTCTCTCATTAGCACATTAAAATAACATCCCATTTTTAACCACATTTTGGGTAGAAAAATTAAAAAGTTACTTACGAATTTGTCAGAAAACGTGAACTAATAAAGATAAATTTCAATACTAGTTCTTAAATAACTTTTACGTCTGACCACACCTACTACTCTGATTTGTTTCGTGGCCAGGGGAAGTCAGAACGAGGCACTGAAAAACCTCAGCTTTTCGGTAAAAATTTTACATCTAACATATATCGCGCGCGCTTTGAAGAGTTTAGTCATAAATTCGTGATAATCAAACGAATTCATCGAATTAGTTTGTACGAAATTCTATACAAGTGCTTTGAAAGACCTTCTATTCTGAGAGTTACATAGTCATCTAAAAAACCTCAGCATCTAGACACTGACATCAATAATGTACAATCTAGTGGGAAATATAATTAATCATGACAAATTATTTGTAAATATTCTAATTTAAAAACACTGCGACCAAGGGATATGCTACAAGATATACACTTAAAACAGTTCATTAAACAAAAAACAAAAAATTAAGCCTAAAACGTCGAAACACCTTCTCAGTCTTTCAATTTCCTAGTAAATAAAAAAATACAATCAACATACAAAAACATTAACAAACAGGTAGAATTTAACTACAATTCTACCTGATCTATAACTCTAAAAGCAGCTGAGTACATAGGTTAATTATGGATACATAACATTACTTCTTCAAATTAAGGATACCGGTACTCGTGGTTTTATTACAAACAAAAAAAACCCAGCTCTCAGCCTATCAGCATCAGTGTCAATAAGATTACAAAGCTAAAAAGTACCAAATATGGTAATGCTAAACAGCTTGGATATTAAGTAACAGTAGCTGCTCAGATGCCAAACGCCACCACTTAACTGGTACATGGAGTGAGTGATAGCTGAATAATTCTACCCAACCTAGTTACTGTGACTAGAACAAAAACATTTAACAAACAAACAAAAAAAACATTTTACAACCAAGACCACTAATAACACACCTGCAACATGTCAACTTCAAGTGGCATGTCAACTTCAAGTGGCATGTCAACTTCAAGTGGCATGTCAACTTCAAGTGGCAACGCAAAATACTCCAATGCATCCTCATAGACTGAATCATCAGAGTCTAAACATAAAAGAGATAGACTTGGTTGATATAAGGTTGTAGGTATCTAATGTGGCATTTCAGAAGATAGCGTCTTATATAAAAACTTTTAAACTCTTTTTGACATTTAATCCCCTATAGCTGCTGAAAATTTACCTGACTCTTGGGGAAATGGTCCTGGCTGCTCATCAATGTCTGGTTCAACCTCCTCCTTAAAGATAAAACAAAAAAATTCAAAATCTCAACGTTATTTATTTAGAAATAAGGAGTTAATGATTATTTGAATTTCATTCATAAGGGGTATAAATTCTCAAGGAGCAAATTCATAGGCTTCTATATTTTAACTCAATCATTCCGCAAATACTGCTGCTGTAGTCTAGTCAACTCAAAAAGACAAAACAACTGTTAATTTTGGCCAAAGTAAGGATACACGGATGTTTTTAAAAAGCTTTTACATTATAGTACCCAAAAATTCGGTAGGGGATCTCTAAATACAGTTGTGTACAAGTATTCAGCAGTGTACAAGTATTCAGCAGTGTACAAGTATTCAGCAGTGTACAAGTATTCAATTTGGATACATAACCTCCATTCTTCAAATTAAAGATACGGTACTTTAATTTGCTTTAATCTAACAACGAGCCCCCGGCCATATCAGCATTAGTATCAATAAGATTTCAAAGTTTGAAGTACCAAGTGAGGTAACGCCAAAAATTTTGGATCTTATGTAACACCAGCCGCTTTGACGCCAAATGCCAGCATTCACGCACTGGTGCTATGCTTTTTAATTACCGAACGTTCAAAATTGCACATACACCGCTATCCGACGTATGGTCCAACTCTACGACTGCTCTTCTTCCTCCTGAAGCAACATCGTCTGCTCTCCTTGCCTCAAACAGCGACCCTGCCGCCAGCAAACACAACCGGCGATTTTCCTGAAACAATCATCACACAAACATTGATCATTATAGTTCATTTAACAAGAAAACGAAAACCCAGTGTCTAGCGTTTTGAAGTTTGTTTTCTGAGTGTAATCACTCATGTACAGTCCACATTAAAATAAGAAAAAGACAACAGAGAACTACGAGGAATAAAATGGTGAGAGAAACTGTTCTCTAAATGCCAAGTGTCACTTATGCAACAATTATTCAGCACTAAAGAGACAAATTGCTAGGAGAAAAATCCAGACAATTTGAGCTTAAACTGGCCTGCTCAAAAAAATAAGAAGCCTAATGAACAAACAATCAAAATACTCAATCTAATGTAAGCAAACAATTTGGCAAGAAATATTTAATAAAATGTTGGTTCTTGTGAAGAGCTGGGCTTCTTCTTAAAGGTGTGACACAGCTTGCATGTAGGGTGGTGACACTAAGATTTTCGAGTCTTAACTCAGTAAAGGATATTTAGACCACAATGCCGAAATAGTCAGGGTGTGAACCTAACCTCAATCGCTGTATTGGTAAACTGTTCGTTTTCTTCCAACTGCCTCCTCAGCTGAATGGAAAGGATTAAAAGTGTTTTTAGTCCCCAAAATATATGTATTTATATAAATCCCTGTCACCAAGTAACTTTAGACAATCATAGTCTCATCAACAGTTTTTAAACTGTTAATGAATGTTATTTTTAAAAAAATAACATTCAGGTAGATTAAGAATTCCTTCTCATAACAGATTTCACAAAGGCTAATTTTAAATGAAAATATAAACACGGACAGTTGAATGATCCCCATATAAAATACATTAACTACTTTGGAAAATTAACCCATTTAAATTTATGTTTAACAACAATTAATGGCTCCTGATTTAGAAACAAACATGGTGTTTCTTTCCCCTCTGAGTTTATATGGCAGCTTACAAGATGAATTCTTTTTGTAGCAGTGACACTATTTGGTTAACAATCTCATATCTGTAATTTAAGTTCCTAATTAATACTCAACAGCAAAAAGAAATGTGTTTGAAGCAATTGTACTCAAAAACCTTCAAGGATTCTAAAAATAGGATGGCCTAAGCATCAGCAAAAGTGGTGTTATTGTGCGAAAAAGAACAGTGATTAGGGCGTCTACTAAAAATCAATGAAGGATTTTCAGAAGTGATTGAATGTTCCTCAACTGAGAGCCAAAAGGTTATTTAGCATCTGCTAATTATGGATCTACACAAATGGTGTTTCTGCTTGATCGCAAAATGCTTTGTCCCATACCTCTTCATTTTCCACCTGCAAACGATCATTTTTAGCTTGTAAATAGGCACACGGTGGCCTGGATTCCTAGAGCAAACCAATTATAATTAAAAGAGTCCTATAAGTCACAGGTGGTAATATTGAATACAAATACGATAACACATTAGAATATAGGTACTCAATGCTAAACCATTGCAAGGTCAGAGATATTTCAAGCCAGTGAAGACACTTTTCACCTCCCCTCTGAAGTTAACATCGATTAATTGGCCATGACAATGAGTCTATGCATAAAATTGCCTAGAATAACTCCATCTATTACCCCTTCAACTCTTTACTCTCAACATACCCTAAAAGTTTGCCTACACCGGAACAGATCTTCTCGGAGAGTATTACAAACTGACTCCATTTCTCTTAGTTTCTAAAGAAGATAATTAAAATATCAAGTTAGGCAATTCAGAATAAGATCATTTCATATGATGTGCTCTTTATTCTATTATCATCTCATATTGTATTTCACATTGTATGAAAGCCTCTTTGTTACAAGTGGCACAAAACCCTTCATTGAGTCAATTTTATAACTAATAATCATCATTTCACAACATACTGTTCCACCCACACCTGCACACAACAACCACTAAGAGAAATTTGGTAACAGTAAATAACAAGAACACAAGATGATTTCAAAACAAGTACCAATTACCGCCAATCCCATATAGAAAAGAATAAGAGGAAAAAAAAACCACACAAAGATTCACTCTCGAGACTGGTGCATGGTGCAAATATGAAGCTTGGAATAATTATATGGCTGATGAAAGGTACTGTGTAACCATTTTAACCCTTTCATTCCAAAGATCTCATTAGTACTTCTCTTTACTGTCTGCCTTACAATTCTTATAATTTTAGCTTGGAGAGTTGGTTTTGGGTTCAACTGATTAACCCCTAATTGATATTTCTCCTAATTCTCATCACTTGTCTGTTTGATATGGCATTGATACTGTAAAGAGAAATTCTGAATTGGTCATTAATGGGAGTTTGAGGTTAAGAAAATCTTTCATTTCTCTTTGACCCTGTGCATGCAGCTTCTTCCAAACACTTGGGAAAAAGGAATTGCAACTATTTGAAGCTTTATTACTTACAATGGGTAAGGTTCAGGCATGTTACCTAGAAATTTGTCTTCATTCATTTGGTATACTAATGGCAAATATCAAGAAAAGTAATGAAACAGTTTGGATCACACTTTATGTATATTCATTTAATACTGCAATAGAAGATTTAAAAAATCTTCCATTGAAATTGCTAATTTACCCTTGTTAAAAACAGGTTATCTTTCTTTGAGGATTCTAATTCCTAAGGAATAAAAATCATGATGATACAGATGAAGTTTAAGAATTGCAACCATCTGAAGAATAACAATTAAATTATGGTTTATTAACCGTATGGTTTATAGTGATGTGAAAACCTTTCAAGTCGTCAAAGAAACCTGAGGACTTCTTTGTGTTAATCCTAGCAGTTTCATGATCATCCTCGGAGACCCAGGGGCTGAGTGGATTTCAAGTTAGGGCATGAAGAGCCCCTGGGGACATTGTCTTACAAGACTAGTTCCAAACGGTCGCAGTGGCTCTGCCGTCTGATTGGTGCCAGAAAATCTTTGTGTTTTTCTGCCCAATCAGAGTGAAGTGTGCTTTAGAGTCCTTTCGTGTGTTTTAACACGGACACATACTAGTAGCCCAGTAGCTCGCCATGTTTGTTTGGACCGTGCGACAGAGATTTGCTTGAGGTGAAAAGTTTCAGTCTCGGCACACAAAGTAAGAGAAATCGATCAGATTGTCCGCGAAAATCTTATCGGAAGTTATACTGAATACTTTCGCAGGTATCACTAGAAGTTATTTCGTCGCACGGGCCACGCAGGTATGTCGAGCAACTGGCGCTTTCGCCTACGTAGCTTTCTGCTTTCTCTGCGCGCCAAAATCTAATCTTAGTAGTAAAGTCATTCACAATACGGCCAAGGTTGCAGAGAACGTTAAGTTCGTGGACGACCTCCAGCAAGTGCTAAGAGAAAGCTTAGCTGTGTTTCCGGTTTGCTAATTAAAATCTGAACAAAAACTTATTAACGAGAACATCGTGGGAAGGAGAGATGTTTTCGGGCAGTTACCGAAGGGGTTTGGAAAGAGTTTAATCTTTCAACTGCTGTCTAGAGTGTTGAAATTCTTGAGCTAGGAAGGCCACGGATTCTCTTCTAGTCCCTTGGTCATTGTCATTTCACCTCAGTCTGTCGATTGCTGAAGACCAAGTTAAATACCTTTGATCATTGGGAATCGATCCGATGCTGTTTTCAGTGGGAAAAACAAAACCAAAGACCAAGAAATATTGGATGGAAAGGGCGGGTTTGCTTTATTGCAAATGTCAGCTTAGTAGTACAGGGTCATCTACCCACATCTAATAAGCAAA